CTCTGGACCGGTGGAGCGGGTCCGGCCTGCGGGGCTCCTCGCCTTTCAGAGGCCGTCGGGCTCCTAAATTCCCCACTTTCAGCACAGGAGGGCAAAGCTGCAGGGCTCTGCACCTTAGGTGGCCCTAAAATGGGCATAAAAATGAGTTAATGCTTTTTTCTCACCAGCTAAATGTTTTTGTGTCCCGCTTGCCTGCATGCTGAGGGGGCGAACCGACCTCTCCAGGTCTTCCTCACAGAAGCAGATGAAAGCCGTCTTTGTTGCGACTCAAAATCTGCCGGATTTACCTCAGTATTTAAGACTAATTTCTTTGCGTTAAAGCTTTTAAAATGGTGTTCTTGGTTAGGGGATTCTAGTGCCGGGAGATCACACATAGGGATGCAAAAATTATTAACATATGGCTTGATGTAGCACGTAGAGCATGCCAAGTTTTAAACATTGAACTCCCAAAATTTACAGCACTGCTAAAGGTGAAAGAGTTCTGGGAAGTCACCGTATAACATATAGAATGTGGAAACTTTTAAATATCGAAGCCAAAAATTTACAGCACTGCTAAAAGTGGAATGCTGGGAAGTCACCGTCTTAAAACATGTTGCAATCTGTCTCTGCTGTTAGATGTGCTGAAACAAGCTTTCTTAGCCTTCTCTGGTCAAGCATATGAACATTGACTTCCTTGGTTTGGGTCTTGCTTTTGACTGTAGGTATCTTAATCTCTGTAAAAGTAAACACTTTGGTGAATAAGTGAGATCTGAAGTGTGCTGGTCCGGTTTGGCTGCTAGAAAGTCTTAAAGCTAGTTTTCAACAAACGTAGAGCATGTACAAAACAAGCTGATGAAAACTTGCGTGAAATGTTAATGTGACTGAGCTGCAAAGATTCTGCAAGGGAAGAAAGTGATTCTGACCATTTTTGAAAGGACTTTGTATTTCTCCTAAGCTATCCTAGTCGCCCAGTTTTAGTTTGAAGAGTGTAATTCCTAATATTTATATCAGAAAATTGCTTGTTTTGTCAAGGTCATAAAGTAAATAGCCAGGGATTGTAAAGACAGCAATATTAGAGTTGAACTAAAGCACCTTTCCCCATGTTTTGTTGTAATAGTTGTTCTCACGTTCTAGCAACAGTGCGTGTGGTGAAGTACTGCTTTAATAATCAATGCACGATCTGATCTTCTTTGGAAGTGCCTAAGTAGCAATTTGAGGTAGGTGGCAGCCAGTGACTAGTTAATGATCATTAATGCTGCATGAGACGTGTATACTTAAAATGTCACACTGTGCTGTATGATATGACAGGAGAAATATAAAGTTCAGTACTTCTGCGAGCTGACTCTTCAAGCCTAATTAGTGAGTTTTTTGTTGTTGTTTTTTTCTCTCCCTCTTACAGAAAGGGTCCTCATCGGTTGCTCCAGTTCACATTGTCAATGATGAGTCAGCTGACAAGACTAATTTGGGCTTTATTCATGCATTTGTGGCTGCTATATCAGTCATCATCGTATCAGAACTTGGGGATAAGACCTTCTTCATAGCAGCCATCATGGCAATGCGGTACAACCGTTTGACTGTACTGGCTGGTGCTATGCTTGCCTTGGGACTGATGACGTGTTTATCAGGTTAGCACTCTTTGTTTCATGTTTTAAAATGTGCTGGGTATGTATCAGTAAATCTTAATTGAAATTAAAATGAAGGTAATAGGTATATGCAGTTTTCTGTTTTGAGGAGAGCGTGAAGGTTTTCCTGGGGACCATGGCTCAGATTGAATATTTAGCCTCTTACCTGTAATGAGGTGTTTGCGTTCCCTAGACCGCCATATGAATCTAAGTGAGAGGAATGGGATTGGGAGCCTAAGCACTTCCTTTGATTTTTGGGCCACTAGTTTCCTTTTTATTTTCAGCTCCTGTTAAATTAGCATGCCTAAAGGGAATGTAGGAATGAGTTCTCTTTTTCTTCCTAAGATGAAAGATTCTTAATATGATGATAAATTTGCCTCATCAGACTTGTATCCCCGTACATGTAGCTGTTCGGGTTTGTGCTGAGAGCTGCATAAGTGGAAGATGGTGTTCTGCTGTGATCCTTTGGGGTGGGTGGTACTGCCAGAGCCAAGAGCAGGGGGGGAACCTGTAGCTGTGGGTGCTTACATAGCCATGGTTGTAAAATAGAGCAGCCTTCAGGGATATCAAATGCAGCATAAATTTTGTTGTATGGATGCTCATTTCTAACCATGCCCACTTCAGAAATAATTGAAATACTGTTCATTGGTTTATATACACTTGAGACAGCCAATTAACTGACTTCAGGTTTCTTGGAGTCTTTCTATGAATGGTTTTTGAATGTGTAGCTATTGCTATATATATAGCTGCCATTGTTATTGCAATCTTGGAGCAGTTTTCATTTATAGCATTGTATAAGTTTCTTCTATTACTTAATATAACCATCTTTGTTGCGTCTTCCACTTCTGCACTGATTGCTTCATTTAATGTTATTTAGTACCACAAGTGATGCACTGTTCTGTAAATCTTGCAACCTCTTTTCTCCTGGCCATTACAGCTCTCCCATTTTCTATACTAAGTCTTTCTTCAGATCTTTCTTGATGCTTTTTCATAAAAACTTTCTCTTCTGCTTTATCCCCTGGTTTAGAGGTTCCCAACTATTTATTCCTTTTCAGAAAGGAGCCTTTTTTTTTTTTTTTCTTTCTTAATTTCTCCCCTCTTTCCACTGCCCTTGTTTTATACAAGCTGTGTCTGGAAATTCCCGTGGTTTTTGCCCACCTTGATTTCACGAAAACGTGCTCACTTAAACTCACTGGCTCCAATTAATCACTGCTTGGGGTGTTTTTTTCAAGCTGTGCTTGAGAGACAGTTCTACCCTTACGACAAAATAAGCTGCCTTATCATTCTGATTATTTCATGATTTCTGTGCTTGTATATGCAAGTAATGCTAAAAAAATTAACTTTTTGTGCAGTGTCTTGCATTGCTTCAGTATTTTCAGTCTTAAAAAAGTTTAGTTTAACTCTTTTTTTTTATTCAGCTGTGCAACTAATACTGTTACTTAGATAAGTATGTGCCATGTTTTCTAATAGTACAGCCTGATTAATTTTGGTCTCATGGTCTTCCTTTTGGTAGTGGCAGTGTGGATTAATTTCCAGGTTATGTAGTAGCTTCTGAGTGCATTGTTCAACTAAGAAAGTGTACACAAGAAAACACACATGGTCATATGCTTCCTTTTAGCTAATTGCATGTGGAGTAAAACAACAGAGACAGTTGTGAGTGCATGCTCCAAGCAGCCTTGAGTATTTGGAGTTTTAATTACCTCTCATTTATACAGGCCTTTTCTGTCCAAAAATGCTAACTAGTCTTACTTTGTGAAGAAGCAAGTACTTTGTCCTGGACACGTATTTCTTCTTTGAGAACTAGTTTTGGCTTAGTTTGATCGCCTTCGATACCCATAAAAGTAGATGCACTGTGGAGGTAACTTTTTGGTCTTTGAGTGGGATCAGTGCTTTTAAATTAAAGGAAGATCAAAGTTGGTCACGTTGTGTGTTTGTGGGGAGTGTGGGGGAGAAGGGAATAGTAATGTGCAGGTGTTTGCACTTGGCAAAAGCAGACAGACACGGATTCCTGCAGGTGGATGATTTGTGGGTATGTCTAGTAGATTTAACTTGTAGAAAAATCTTAATTCTAACTTTGATAAATGAAATAATTGGAAAGAGATGCTATCCAACACGTAGTCATATATAACAATAGAATTAAACTGGTATACATGGTGACTAATCTGACATGATTACAGATGATAGTTCCATGGCATGCTTGGAGAAGGGCAGGACTTGCGTAGTCCTTGATGAGAAAGATAATGTTGTGTTTGGACTGGCCCTTGGGAATGACAGCACATCAACTTTGTGGTGTGTCTTGTCTGTGTATTAATGGACTTCAGTCTCTGGTATGACCAGTAGTGGTTGGAGTTTCTAGAGTGGTGTTGTCTTGGAAAAAAAAATTATAAGCCAAATGAAAGATGGAATATTTATTTATTTGTGGATATTTGAATCGCAGAGTTTGCTAGCAGGCATGTCTTAGATATGGGGAAAAACAATTATGATCCTCAGGCTTATTTTCTTTTAAATGATGCATTTGTTTTCTTTTCAGTTTTGTTTGGCTATGCCACCACAGTTATTCCTCGTGTGTACACATACTATGTGTCAACGGCACTGTTTGCAATTTTTGGCATCCGAATGCTTCGGGAAGGCTTGAAAATGAGTCCAGATGAGGGTCAGGAAGAGCTGGAGGAAGTTCAAGCAGAAATTAAAAAAAAAGACGAGGAAGTAAGTCATAAACTTTCTGATGAAGTAGTTACAGCCGTGAAGCCGTAGAATGGCACTGTCATGTTTGAGGTGTTGGGCTGTGTCTATGATTGATAGTTTGACACAGAAAATGTGTGGTAAATGGGACAGAAGTGGCCCCTGGAGGCTATTTCAACAAGTGATTCCAGTTCTGTAGCAAGCCTGGTTTCTCAGGAGAAAAGGAAATTTCTCCATAGAGTCCCTTTTTTTTTTTTTTTTTTTTTTTTAAAATGCATTACTAACAGAGAGGACATCAACAGTTTACTTGTGCCTCTGTGTTTTTTGGGTTTTTTTTTTTTATGGTCAGGCAGAATATTTTTGAGGGTCGTAGTGTTGCAGCAAAGGTCTCTGTTATAATAACTTTCTAAATATACTGGTCCACTTAAAAGGAATAATGTGGAATATTAATCTTATTTCTTTAAAGATTTTTTTTAATTAATTTTATGAAATCCTAATTTGAGAACCACCGTTTGGCAAGAGAGGGATCCTTGCATTAAAAATAGGAGGAAATCTGTGGTTAGGAACCAGGTGTCATTCCTACTGAAACTGCTGTGTCAGTACAAGCAGTACAAGATGGACATTAACCGGAGATGAGAGGTGATTACAAGTATATGTATCTGTGTATATGTACACACACATATGTGTGTGCATATAGGTAGCTAGATTTCTAAAATGGTGTCTAATATAAATAATACATTGATAATGCAGCAGTCAGTGGCAAGTAACATTCCGGATACTAAATGGCTAGCTTTACTGTTTAAGTATTTCGTTTGGGTTGTTTAGATGACATTTCTAATCTTACGGTCATTTGTTCTGTTTGTTTGGTTTTTTCCCTTGTCCTCCACAGCTTCAGAGAACTAAACTGTTAAATGGGCCAGGAGATGTGGAATCAGGGCCAGGCACCACTATACCTCAGAAGAAGTGGCTACATTTTATTTCTCCAATCTTTGTTCAAGCTTTTACTTTAACGTTTTTAGCAGAATGGGGTGATCGTTCCCAATTAACAACCATAGTCTTGGCTGCCAGAGAGGTGAGTGTTGCAGAATGCCCGCTGTTCTTTTGCCCTCTTCGGGTTGCCCGCAGAGAAGTGGGAGAGGCAGAATACTCTTGCAAGAGGTATCAGGCTCACACCTGCTGCCTTGCTGTGCCTTACTCAGTGTTACAGCTGTGCTGAGACCTGAAAATAAACGCACTGAAGCTCTGTGTAGTATTAAAACTATTGTTACATGATTGGGACTGCACAGGCATTTCTGGAAATAGTTGGTTTATATCATGTAGCTGAGTACAATTGTTTTCTTGTTACAGTGTTGAGAGATCTTGCAGAACAGATGTTTCTTTGATCTGTGTGGTCATACAGTTTTAACACACTAGCTTTAAGAAGAGACCTTCATCCCAGTGAACTTAAAGGTGTTAAGAGGATAGTTCTTTTTAAAAATTTAAGTGAATACGGTACAGTGCATAGAACTAATATAAACTCGGCATAGAACTAAAATAAACGGCTGTGTGGTAAGTAATGCTGTACATGAAATGATATTCAGCATCATGATTGAAATGTATATAGCTATTATATTTAAAGGAAAATTAAGGCTTATAGTCAACCTCTTAATAAGCGTAAGTAGCTTCCCTGTGCTTTTTCATGCACTGAGTTAACTTACATTTTTTTCCCTAGGACTCAATGCTTCTTCCAGTGCACTTTCATACCTTCCCTAGGAATAAATCAGGGCTGTGTAATGAAGGAGGCTATGATCTGCAGGAACCTCTTGTCTCTATTACAGCGTAGGGAAGGTGCTTAGAGCTAACAAGGCAGGGAACAGTAGGACGAGAGAATGATCTCATTGTTCAGGCAGTTACATGCCATCCTGGAAAATGATGAATCGTTACTGCCTCTGCCCGAGTTCTTATGTGGTGGTAGGCAAGTTGCTTAAGTTCATCTTTTCACAGGTGGTTGTTGACTTCTGGTTTACATTTTCTGAGTGTCCCATTAGGAAGTATCCGTCAGGTGCTCTGGTCTGGTTTGTGAACTGCTGAGCATTGCAGCTAAAGGCTGTGGGATGTTGTGCCTTTAGCATGTGAAGTGTTTGTATAAGTGCTAGAAAAAATGAATTGAAGATGTCTTGATCATGGCTTTCAAAATCAGTGAGTTATTATGATCTGGATCTTTCTGCATTTTATCTGTTTTGTTTTATGGTCCTTTGTTTCATAATATATTCACATAAATCCTTGTCTGTGAAGTACTAAGATACATAGCAGGAGCATTACAGAAATGCTGATGAGGAAAGAAATTATCTTTATATGGAGATTTGAGCTGTGTGGTAAGTCGGCTGTGACCTTACATTCTTCAGTGAAAAGAAAACAAAATACTACGTGACTGTTCATTAAGTGAGTAGTGTCCATTCTATCATAACAATCAAACAAGGCTCCTTTGGGAGGGAGGGGGAAAGGGTGATAATTTGGCTGTCTCAGTGCGTACACCAAGGGAATGAATTAAGTCTGTCTTCAGGAACCTAGTCCTGACAACAGTCCTTAAGAACTTGATTTTACATCTTAATAGTTTACTGTGTATAAGGATTGCTCATCTGTTTAAGGAAACAAGGAAACTCTCTAATGTCCTACTAGACTGGCTTTGCCTCAGTTGTTGCATCTGAGCACTTCTGTTCCTGGAGACGCTATGCTGAGGGAAGCCATAGTAACTTGTTACCTTCCACGGACAGCTCTAGGGAATGGGCTGCGGGGTGAGATCCACCCTCTGCCATTGGGGCTGTACAGGGAACTGCTGACCGCAGGGAAACGGAGATTTCCAGGAACTTTGGGTCCTGATCCTGGAGGCAAGTGTGTTCTGCTGGCACAGCCCTGCTTCCCACCTGTGCTTCTTGGTGGTTTTCTACCTGTCCTCTGCTTGGTGCTCACCACCTTTTCTCACTGGCTTGTGGTTTTGGTTCTTTTGGCCAGTGTTGTCTTTTTTTCATACCATATTACTTCTTAGACAGTTTTGCTGTTAGAGATTTGATGCATTCCTCACATTACGGCAGCAGCTTTTTTTTCCTCTTGGAGCTGAAAGTCTCACTTAAAGACATGCAGGGGACTCAACTCCGCTTTCCCTCATTAATCTTTGTCCAGCAGAAAGTCACACTCCTACCTTGCCTTTGTTATCAGTCACTAAAAGATTGTTTTTTGTTTCTACTGCTGAAGTCTTCAGTTTTATGAGGTGTTCAATACATATGCTACCCTTAACTGTCTAATTTGTAAGTAGATCTGAGAAACCTCTTTATGAGTTGTTCATGTATGGAGTAGCACATTATGCAGTGATGTGAAAGCTGTCATTGGCAAAAAACTTTGAAAACAGTTTATTATCCGATGGACTTGAATTCTTTTGTATTTCCCTCTTTGGGTGATTGGGGGGGGCAGAGTGCAGAGCACAAGCTTGTGAAGCTAGACAAAGGAGTCAGAATGTTTTAGCTGCTGAAAGTTTTCATTTGCAGTTCATGGACTTATTTTTCTCTCTTTTTTTTTTTTTTATAATTAGGTTGGTGTTCTTCCAGCTGATGCATATTGTGTTTCTCAACAGCTGCCACCTTTCCTCTAGAGGTTGTTTAATTGTTTAACTATAGCAGAGTAATTTCTGGATCTATATTTAACAACTTGAAGATGCTTCTTGGTTGAAGCATGCCATGTGATCCTGTATTAGTCAGGTTTAGATTTGAGTCTGTCTTGCTAGCTGATGTGCACTGTTACTGGCCTTTAAGGCACTGATGGATAGCAGAGCAAACACCAGAGAGCATCTTCCATGCTTGACAGTGTGCAGCCAGGGGATTAAGTGGATCATGGCAGGAGGTTGTTGTAGGACTGAGGGTTTTCAATTGTGCTGATGTTTCCCTTCTGTGTGTTTTCTTTTTTTTTTTTTTTTTTTCCTCAGGACCCCTATGGTGTGGCAGTAGGAGGAACAGTGGGACATTGCCTATGCACTGGCTTAGCAGTTATCGGAGGGAGAATGATAGCACAAAAAATTTCTGTTAGGACTGGTAAGTGAAAACTCACTTCAACCAAAAAAAATGTGTTAATGCTGGTAATGGTGGTGGTGTAAATGACTACATGCTTGGGAACAGTGTTTCTCAAAACTTTTGGAAAACCCAAACCCTTTTTTTTTTTTTTTTTTTTTAATCTGTTTCCCTCCTCTCCTCTCCCCGGCCCTGTAGTCGTGGGAGTTGTAGTCCTCTCGTGGGGGCGACCCTGTGCCGTTCCCAGGGCTGTGTGTCCCTCCTGCCAGGCAGAGTCCGAGCATATGCCACCACCCTGCACAGGGGGCATCTAAGGGGGCTGCCCTTACTTAAACTTAACAGGTTACTGACTGTGATGCAAGGAATCAAAATGGGTATTGTAGGTCCAGGTTTAAAGATGGAGCTTCACTATTAGCTAGCTTGTAGGAGATCAGAGAAAGGAAATAAAGTATCTTGAATAGTCGGTGTTTGCTGTTCGACAGTGGATAATAGAAATTCTGTTGCAATTCTGTGTGCAGACCTTAAGGTGAACAAACGACCTGCATACTTAAAAGTTACACTAGCCATATAAAAGCTTTAAAAGCTATTGTGTGTGTGGCATAAATGTTTTGTTGGTTTTTTTTTAATCATACCTGCTATCTGTAAGAGGAAGGACCAGTAAGGTTACATTGAGTTGTTTGGTTTTCCTTAGATTAGGTTGCAGCTTGCTTCAACTGTCAGTCCTGTGATGTAGTGAGATTTCTTGCTCCCAGGAAGGATTCTGTGAAGCTGCTGCCTATAAATGTTCATTCAGAATATTTGTTCTGTAGCTGCAGAGGTTTGTAAAAAAACTTCACTGCAGAAAATGAAATGTGCATTCTGTTGTGTTTCTTTGCCAAGGAAATTGGTGACGAAGTGCTAATGTAACAATGATTTAATATGCTCCTAATAAGCTGAATGTGGATCTTCAACCACAGGAACAGCCTTATTAAGTTAGATCAATCTAGCCCCTTAGTTTGTGTGGAGAGGAGAACATATATGTGGGTGCTTTCCTGGAATACTGTCCCGGCCTCTAGCAGATAGTGGCCATTGCAAACAATTAATGGTGATGATACTGTGTCTTTCAATATAGTTACCTAAACTGTGCAAAAAACGCTAATTAGTACATCACTCTTATCTGATGGCTTGCTCCAGTGTGAGAATATTGTATCTTATTTTCCCCCGTACGGCCAAATATTCAACAGCAGGTGTCAACCTCAGTTTTATACTAGCTAAAATCATAAGAGTAAAACAAAGCTTCCTTCTAAGGACTGGAATATATTGTGGTAGATGCAGTTAGACAGTGGGATGGCACATGGGCATCCTGACACTGAGCCAGAAATATCCACTGTTTGCAGCATAAATTTTAAAGTAAGGTTATTTGGGAATTGGACATTAAAAATAAAATTTGTAATGTTTCGTGGAAGATATTTAACTTTCAGTTTCTAATTTCTTTTTGGTTTGTGTTTTCTTTTCAGTGACAATTATAGGAGGCATCGTCTTCTTAGCATTTGCATTTTCTGCACTATTTATAAGTCCAGACTCTGGTTTTTAAAATTTTTCATCGCTGCAAAAGAACAAGGATTGGAAGCATCAAGCAGCTATCCTTGTGCATTTTTGTATATAATGTACAGAATTATAGTTAAAGAAGCACTGAAGATGAGACACTGAACTTTTTATAGCGAATGATTCATGGGACTGACACATTTATGGACAGCTTCTGCAGTGGAGATCTGCTTATTGGCTGGTTTGTTTATTCTGTGGTGCCTGCTCTCTTGGTGGGATTTGCGTGGTTTTCTTGCTTGCTGGACCTGGCTCAGCTGAGTTTTTTGAGGATCTACTCTCCTAAGTATTGAGGCTTCCTCTTCTCTTCCTTTGTTACACATGGCCACCTTTCCTGTTTCTTCAAGAGCTGATTCGTAAGGCTTCTCGAAGCAGACCGTGTCTTGTTCCATGTTGCTCAACAGATGGTGTTAAGGAGAAAACTGCTGGCTCCCACCTCCAAGGACTTCGGTTCCAGGGTGCGCTTGAGGCTGGATCATCTAAGCAACGAGAAACCTGGGAGCAGTTCCTGTACCATTCAGTGGCTGAGCCACCAACAGAGAATTTTGTAAACTTAATTTAGAGGGAAAACTTCTTAATCAGGGATTTTTATCAGGAAATTGATGTGTGGTGATTAACAACCTACCATGTTCAATATGCAATCTGTCTGGAGCTACTATTATTTGACTTTTTTTTTTTATTTTGAAATATTAAAGTGTATGGAAAGTAATAGTCCAGTTTAACAACATTCCGTTCCCAGGATTGAACAATAATGGAATTCTTAGATTTAGATGTGTTCCTGTTTTTCTTTTTAGGAATAGAAATGTAATCTGGAAGAGTATTAATAAAACATAGTATCTCCATTTGAGTTATTTTCAGTATTGTTTTTGATGGTTCCCATAATTCCTGCCACAAAGGTTTACCTAGTGGTTATGTACTTAAAGTGAGGAAAGTTTTTACTAAATTTATTTTGGACACTGATAAATGCCAGTGTTATAAAGACTTTGAAAATGTTGACCACTGAAGATATGTGGGTTGCAGTAATACATGCTTTTCTCTGCTCTTCAGTGATGACTTGAATTCTGAGTAATGGCTTAAATAACCCACTAGGATTACTCAGTAGCGGTCTTGTGAAATAGAAGTTACGGTTTCTAATATTCTGAATCTGCCTGTTGTTGAAGCTGAAGTAATACAGAGCATTACGAATTTGACCATTCCATTTGTAGCTCACAAACAGAGCTGTCCCTAATCCCTCTGAGGTTTCTCTGCCCAGAAAACCCTTGAGTGTGCATTTCTCAAACTCTAAGACAGCAGCAGCACGATTGGTACATGTCGTGCACAGCAGTATGAAAACAGGCTGCAAACATTTCAGGCTCCAGATCTAAATGTTCATGTCTTGGCCTGAAGGAAGGGTGCTGCTTAAAGCTGTTTTGATACGAAAACCATTAGGATCAACAGAAATATGAAGCTATTTAATGTGGTGTTTGTACAGGCTCGTGTGAAGTTGCAGAACAAATACCTGCAACTGCTGCATTTATATTTTACTCCTACAGACTTACATGATGCTTTTGACCAGTGACAGCAAGGTATTTGGCTGCTCTCTAATGCTAGCTTGGCAGATGGGAGTTAGTTTGAATAGTGGGTTCACTTTTGGTCGGGGGTTTTTTTGTGTTTTTTTTTAAAGCACAAACACTGACCTATCCTCGGAAACCTATTATAAAATTAGATAGCTCGTGAAACTTTAGTAAAAGCTTTGAAAGGTGCTTTGGTAGTTGCTGCTAGTTACAGTGACTTAATGTTGTCAAGTGCCTGGTGGAATTTTTCACAATTTAAAGAATGTAGTTGGGATGTAACCAAAGCCTGTTGAAGGTGGTGGAGGACTCCACTGACATATTTTTAGCAGTGCTGTATCTGTAGTGAAGTGGTGTCCTTCTGCAGCAGCTCCTGTGGCTGGTGCAGGAGTTGGGGCTTTAGCAGCTTTCATCATACTTGTCTAGTGCATTGCTGTCAGAGAGGTGTGTTGGCACTATTTGCTCTCCAAATCCCTGGGTACTTGAGATATAGGTAATATCTTAATGAGTGTGTGTGTGTGCGTACATACAAATATATAAAGTGTCTTACTCTTACTCCTAGGGTGTGTTTGCATCAAAACCTTCCAGATTTTGTTAAAGCTTTTCTTTCACCTGTACTTTTCTTAAAGAAGTAATGTGTCTTAGTTGAAGAGGGGGGTCTGTTGGTGGTCAGATGAATTAGGCCTGCTTACTTGAGATGAAACACATTTGAGGAGACTATGTGAGCTGGGTCACTGGCCCTGGGCTAAACCACCCTGTGCAGGAGATGTTGAGGGCAGACAGTGCGAAAATCTGGACTGATAGAAGATAGGACAAGGGATAATGGCTTTAAGTTGAAAGAAAGTAAATTTAGATTAGATATTAGGAAGAAATTCTTTACTGTGAGAGTGGTGAGGCACTGGAACAGGTTGCCCAGGGAAGCTGTGGATGCCCCCTCCCTGGAAGTGTTCAAGGCCAGGTTGGATGGGGCTTTGGGCAACCTGGTCTAGTGGAGGGTGTGCCTGCCTATGGCTGGGGGGTTGGAACTAGATGATGGTGCAGTGACTGTGATGCCCTCCGCACTCAGAGCGGGGGAGCTGACAGCGAGTGTTCTGCCGGTTGAGATGCTGGTGCATGTGAGCAATAATTCATCCCCTGCCCCTCTTCCCCACTGTGCCCAAAGTGGAATTTACCGATCTCTTAGTGAAAGAATCTCTTGTCTCTCTACTTCTCCTTACACCAGGAGATAAAGGGGAACCACGGGGCATGTCTGTCTGAGCTGTGCAGTTCAATGGGCTCATGTGTTGTACCTTCATCTAGCTTCTTCCTTCAAGATCCCCAAGGAGCTGGAATGTGTTTAACAGCAGAGCTGGGCACATGGACTGGTGAGGCAACGTGTCCCATGTGGCTTTATAAATGCTTCTGGTCTGAGGCATTACACATCACTTATAGCTGCTTTCCTAGATGGTAGTGCTTTTGGGGAAGGAGCTGGTTGGTGCATTAGCCAGCCAAGGCCTGGCTTCGCAGGAAGAAAATACCGG